CTAATCAGGAGCCCTCGTATGCCCGGTTTATGCGAGAGTCATAATGTAGCGGGGTTGGTCTCTTCATTGCCATTGATTTGAAAGTATTGTATTTCCCCACGGATCTTGTCTGTGAATTCAGAGTAGTTGAATAGGTGTTCGTTTAGTCTCCAGGGGCTTCGATGTTTGTATTGATAGGTTTTCAGCTAGGGTGAGAGTCACTGGGTTGTGGTCTGAGATTGTAGAGGTGCCTATCTCGCAAGTATTGATCTGTTGTAGATGTGTGCTGAGCATTAGATAGCCGTCTATGCGGGAATACGTGTTGTGCACCTGCAAGTGATGGGTGTATTCCCTATCTTCAGGGTGGAGGGTTCTCCAGACATCGTAAAGCCCATCTGAGGCCAGTGTTTTGTTCAAAGAGGTGCATTGTTTGTGTAGGGCCTTTTTCCTCTTATGTGTGTGTAGGGCTGTGGAATCCACGTTTGGGTCAAGGACGAAATTAAAATCCCCGCAGAGAACCAGAGTGCCTATGCGTCCTTGCTCAATTTTGTCTAATAGTGTGGACATATAGTTGGGTTGGTTCTCGTTTGGGAAGTATGAATTGACTATTGTATATGTGGTGTTGTTTAGTGTACAGATGAGAATAATGTATCTTCCTTGCGGGTCTAGTTGGGCTGTTATTTGGTCGAAAGCCAGGGTTTGGCTCACCAATATTGAGACTCCTCTGCTTTTAGATGGTGATGTGGCATGATATTGATGAGAAAAGTGTTTAAGCCCAAGGATGGGGGTAGAGCAGTGTTTGAAATGGATTTCTTGCAGGCATATAATGTCTGCTTGTGACCTGTGAATCTCTTTAATGATATTGAATCTCTTGTGGGGTGTGTTTAAACCTCTAACCTTGTGCGTATACACTTTCATTATGGTTATCAGGGGGAGGTCACCGGGGTTAGTGTAAGGTCAGTGAGTCTTTTTTTTTTTTTTTTTATATTCGAGAAGTCTCTGTGGACTGCTGGTAGTTTTATCTGGTAAATGGTCCTTGTGTCTTAGGGGGTTCCTTTGAGTCTTGTTATGCCCTTCTCGTTTGGAGAATGAGGTCTAGTTTGGGCCTTGTCCCGGCACCAAGGGGTGGCACCAACAGGGTAATATGTACAAATTGTAAAAACAGAGGGTAAACAGTTAAACAAAAAACTTAAATATAGTACAGTGGTTACTTTCAAGGGTATGTGCCAAAATTGGCAATTCTTAAGCGGGGGTAGTGCGGTCGGGTTGGATCCAGCTGGCAGCGGTTTTGGGCTTACTGGATTTAGGCCATTCCTGTAGAATGCGTTATTTCAGTGGGTATATGATTGCGCTCGGACATTGAGAGCTGCAGTGGAGGGGAGGTTTACAGTTAGGTGCTAGATCAATCGGTTTATAGTTTGTGGGTTGCTATAGAGGATTATGGTTAGTTTGGGTAACTCGGGGGAGGCTGTGTTGGTGCATGCTCGTCGGGCCATGCGTTTTGTTACCGTGCTTACCACAGTTTTGTAAGAGGTGGGGTAGTGCAACCTTTTGTTGGGTTGGGGGTGGTTGTTTTTGTTGTGTCCAAAGGGGTACCCTTTGCGTGCTTGTATCGCCCACGCCAAGCATTCTGTGGGATGGATTGTGCATTACATGGTTGTGCCTAGGTGTTTCTCTAGTGTGCCTGACTAACATATGGAGACTAAGCTTTTATACTAATTGTATCATTGTCAATATACATTCCGTTCTGGTAGTACCTTACTGTAGAATTCTATCTCCTATTAAACAGTACTGTCTATCACGCCATGGTTTAACATATTGTGGCTCAATACATTACACACATGTGCTGGCACGAGTGCGGCAGTTTTTTACAGGTGTAGCCGTCATGGGAGGAATTACTGTCGAAGTGCTACTATACATCACAAAACATATTTTCATCTCACTTGTGTTAATGTGGGGTAGCATGGTTGTAGAGTGGCAGCGATCATTGATAGTATTATTTTTGTTTGGCAATCTCTAGGGGCTATCCCCGAGTTGAATGCAATGGGGAGCTTAAACTTGGCTGATCCTTTGGATCACGCATCTTGCCACTATTGTGTTTTTATGACTACCTTTTGCGTGTCATTACCGCTTAAGTTAAAATAAAATAAACAGAATTTATCAATAAATTAATGCCAATCATATTTAAACACTTGCTGTTTCTGGAAAGGTCAGTGGTCATCTTCTTTTGGATGTTGCTCGCCGTTGTCTATGTGGACGTCCATCAGCGCCTGGTGTCTTGCTTTAGCTTGCTGATTGAAGATTTGGGGCTATGTCCCATTTGTGCAGGAGCTCTAGGCCTTCCCTTGGCAAGGTGGCTGTGATAAGTTTCCCTCCTTTAGTGATGAGAAGTTTCGCTGGGTAGCCCCATCTGTAGGGGATGCGGTGATGCCTTAGAACTTCTGCGACAGTCTTGAAGGATCTTCTGCGTCTAAGTGTCTCCGCCGACAGGTTGGATCTATCTTCTGTGTCTGTGATTTTAACTTCGTGCAGGGACAACCTGTTTTCTATGTCGTCCAGGCATTCCTCGAAGGCTGCGTGGGCCGCGCCTGCTTCATCTAGCTTTCCTTCTATTTGGGAGGTTCGAGCGTCCAGATCGGTGAGATCGTTTTTTATTTTAGCTAGGGCTGTTGTGAAAGTTACTTGCATTTTCATGACCGCCGCATCTAGCATCTTTTGCAGTAGGTTCGGAGTCCGCCTGTCCTGGTTTCTTGTGCACCGATAGGGTCCGCATCATGATCAGACTCGGTGCCATCTTGGGCCTGTGTATCGGCCTGCTTGGATTACGGTGTTCTGACCTTTTTTGTACGGTGTTGGGACATCTTGGACCTTTGTTAGTTGTTCGAGAATACGCCATAATTTTTTATAATTTTTTTTTTATTTACTATAGATATATATATATATATATATATATATATATATATAGATATAGATATATATAGATATAGATAGTGTGTGTGTGTGTGTGTGTGTGTGTATACATACACACACACACACACACACACACTTTTATGTGTAATATATTATAATTAAAGCATTTTAGAATATATTATACATATATATGATTTCATTATTAGTGTATTTTGAGATATATGTTTACATATCTCAAAGTACACTTATAATGAAATCATGTATATGCATTATATATGTATAATATATTTTACAATGCTCTAATTATTTGATATTATACATATAGATGTATAATATATAGTGGAAAATTTATTCATACTTACCGTAATTTTCTTTTCCTGGCTATTATTCATGACAGCATATACAACATGGGTTAGCGCCGCCCCTTACAGCCGATAGGACAGGAAACACACCAAAGGCTTTAAAAGTAGGCTCCATTCCTAAGGTCCTCAGTCAGTAACAAGCTCTACAATAGATAGAGACATTGATGGGTGGGTAGTATATGCTGCCATGAATAATAGCCAGGAAAAGAAAATTACGGTAAGTATGAATAAGTTTTCCACTTTCTTGGCTAATCATGGCAGCATATATAACATGGGAATGCCCAAGCTAACAAAGGGAGGGGAAGAAACGTAAATATCTGTCAATCAAATATTCAGAACAATTCAACATGATTGAACTGAGTTAAGTACTTGATGTCCAAATTGAGCATCATTGACTGCTTCAACGAACAGTATGAAATGCCGAACAAACGCGTGTAAAGAGGTTCAAATGCTAGCTTTACAAAAAGTGTCAGCAGAAACCATTGCCATGGAAGCCCACAATGCTGCAACAGCATGAGTGGAGAGTGCCCTGAAACCCTTCAGGACAGGTAGAGAATGGCATTAATAAGCTTTCCGTTTAGGCAGGATCTCAGGTGCCAAATGAGATCCTGTTGAAAATCAGTGAATGGGAGTTCACAGGATCAAGCCTGGAGTTCACACATTCTCCTTGCTGATGTACTAGCCACCAGCAACAGCACTTTCTGTGCTACCACCATGGAAGCTCCTGCTAGAGGTTAAAATGATGGTTCAGTCAGAGCACGTGAGACCAGTGGTACGTCACATATTGGCTTAGATACCCTTAGTGGAGGCTTGAGTTTATTTGCTGCTTACATGAAGCAAAGCACCAGGGGCATCAATGCTCCATTGGTTCCCTTTGGTACAGGAAGAGAATGGCATTGATAAGCCTTCCCCTTAGGCAGGATCTCAGGTGCCAAATGCAAGACAACCATATCCTGTTGAAAATGAGTGAATGAGTGTTCACAGGACCAAGTCTGGAGTTCACAAATTCTCCTTTCTAAGGTACCAGCCACCAGCACTTTCTGTGCTACCAACATGGAAGCTCCTGCTAGAGGTTCGAATAATGGTTTAGTCAGAGCCTGTGAGACCAGTGGTACGTCACATATTGGCTTCAACACACTCAGTGGAGGCTTGAATTTAATCACTGCTTACATGAAGCAAAGCACCAGGGGCTCCAATGTTCAATGGGCACCCATCAATGTGGAAAGTGCAGATAAGTGCTCCTAGAGTGTTATAACTCAGACCCTTTCTAGGCCTGATTGAGGAGTAATTCCAACCTCTATTCTTGAGACAAACAGACAAATGCATGCCAAGTTTTGTAAAGTATTTATAGGTTGGCAAGAGGATCTCAATGACCGTCTCAGTCTCCCGCATCAACAGCAGAACTTGAGGATCTTGGTGTGTCAAGGGACCTTGAAATAGGTCTGGACGTACTGGAAATTCCCTTGGAGGTTCCACAATCTTATTCATCATAGGAATTTAGAGTCAATGTGGCCTTCCGCTGTCTCCTTTTGAATTACCTTTAGGAAAGTTGAAAACAGGAAAAATATGTACATCAGACTAAAATTCCAAATTTGAGTCAGTGTATCCTGACCTTGAGCATTCTGGTCCTAAAATCTAGAAAAATACTCCTGGACCTGGTAGTTCCGAGAATTGGCCATCAGATCTACATAGGGTATCAGTCAAATCTGAGTCAACCCTGAGGATACGTCAGGACATGGTTGCCATTCCACCTTGTCCACAGTAATTCGGCTCAGGTAATCAGCCATTGTATTCTGAGCCCCTGGTTGTTCTTCTGTGCCCTGAACATCATGGGCAGTAATTCCATCAATTCGTAGCTGTGAGACCCACCTTGATATAGGATACAGTCGCATTGATATTTGAGCTAATTTGGACCCACTTGTTCTTCAGCAACCATCTGAAGTGAAGAAGAGCCCTGAAAATGACTTGTGATTCCACACAATTGAATGGTAATATTGTGCAACACAGTCCAAACACTGTGCAACCAATCTTTGAAAACTGGAAACCGAGCTTATAATTGACCAATGAAGTTCTGTTCACTGAAAACCCAGAGATATACTCTCTCTTCAGCTTCCAGGTAAGGTGTAACTCCACTGATGGGGAAAATGTCAGTGGCTGGCTCCAATTAATCTTTCTCTTGTTAAACAAAGATAGAAAGGACCTTTGAGGAATCCAGAGATGCCATTGAGCCCATCCGACAAAGCCAGGATTCCTAGTAGTTGCATATACTTTCTTGCTGTTACCAAACAAAAATGAAGAAACTGGAAGAGAAAACTTCCACAATCTGTGCAACTGTTCCTGAGATAGGGAAAAAGAAATGTCAACCTCTGAGATGGTGTGAAACTACTTTTCTAGATATTCATCAAGCAGCCAAACTTCAGGAGTTCTGAACGAACTATATTCCTCTGTGTGCCTGAGGCTACCAGAAGTAGATCATACAGATAATGGAACCAGGTGGTGTTCTGGACTCTCAATATCACAATAAGCACATGTAAGGTTCTTAGGGCTGCAGTGAGGCCAAATGGTAGGGCACTAAATTTGAAGTTCTTTTCTTAGATAATGCTGAAGCTCTAGGGCTATTGGAACGTTATGGTAAGCATCCTTTAGATATATAGAGATAAAGAAATGAACCTTCCAAATTGCTTGAGAGATGGATCTAATTGACTCCACCCCAAAGACTGACATTCAGCTTTTTGTTGGCCCTTCTTAGGTCCAGTATAGGCTTCCATGTGCTTCTTCTTTTAGCACCGGAAGAGAGGCAAATATTGTCCCTGGAACCGCTCTTGTTATGGGACCAAAGAAATTACTTCTTTGTCCAGAAGGCTTCTTACATATTCTTTCAGTGCTATACCTTTTGATTCATCTGTCTGAATTCTCTTGTTGGTATAGAGACTCCTGTGTCTAAAGAAAAAACTCCAGTCTATATCAATCTGGACTATGGATACCACCAGAGCCTCCAGAATGTGACGAGCCCAGGTATGTCTGATCAGAAAAAATGAGGCTCCTAGTACTGGAGGAGACACGTTCATTGCTGAAGAGCAAAATGACTGCATCATAGCTCTATTAGAACCTTGAAAGGCAGGTTTACCAACTGCCATGAGTTACCTCTGGAGTATTCCCTGCAGGGACAGTAACTCCATGTATTTCACAAATGCTGATCACTGGAGGTTTTCCTGTCTGACCATGAGGAGCTGGGATCCTTGGAACTTCAGTCCTGAGGTACAAATACCTTGCAGCCCTCCATTGCTTTTTCAATGGATTAATCCAAAGCTTTATCCAAACAGCACCTCCCCTTCAAATAGAATGGTGTAGAGGGCAGACTGGGAGGATGAGTCATCATCCCAGAAATAGAATCATAATGCTTTCCTAGTTGCTATAGATAAAGCCATTTGTTTGAGAGAATATCCTAGTTACATCTAGGGAAGCTTCTGTGAAGAAGTCAGTTGTAACCTGAAGACTTCAGACTGCATCTTCAATCTTGGCTCTTAATAGCTCTCTCCATAGTAGCCTTTAGCTCTTTAATCACACTTTTCATGGTTGTAGAAACAGCAGTGAAAGCTACAGCTGGCTGACATCCTGCATTGGCAGGCATATAAATTTGGACAGGTCTGCGTCCACTTTTGATCCATAGGCATGCACCTTAGGTGGTGTAGTTCAGGGATTGGAAATACCTCCCTCCACAGAGTAAAGCTTGGCCTCTTTCTTACCCCCTAAGGCCTCTGAAATACCTTGGAACTTCCTTTGTAAGCCATGCAGGCATATCATGTGGCTGCACAGGGATAGTTTATGCTGAAGCCTTGAAGACAGTCAGTGCATAACTGTTTTCCTTCCACTGCTTTCCCATCATAACCAGAACAGTGTAGATTCAGACAATACCTTGCAACTTCCTTTGTAAGCCATGCCAACATGTCCTGTGGCTGAGCAGGTAAAGGTGATGCTGAAAAAGGTTACCTTCTGAAAACAGTCAATGCATAACCTTCCACAGCATTCCCATCACAATCAAAACATGATTCAGATAAACAATAAATAAATTTAAAAAATATATATATTACCTGTGGCAAAGTACTAAAGTAAAAAAGTGCACTGTCAAATTCTATTAAGAAACCAGTGAAAGATTTAAAACTGGCTTAAGACAGCACTTATCCATGTCTGGAGACCTTGCAAATACTTACCAAATAAGTTTTGTATGTTTACTGTAATTTCCCCTTAATTTTAGGTACTTTCTGGCAATTGCCCTTATCCAAGATGGCTGCCGCAACTTGCATTCCCAAAATGCAAGTGAACTGTATTGGGCCCTTTTAGGCACAAACTGCATATGTGCGGGCCTTTTCCAAGTGTGTTTGCTGTTTAGAGACCAGGGAGAGAGCTCAGTCTGCAGCATACATGGCCCCTGAACACCCAGGGAACCGGGGTTAAATCACTGGGACCAAGGGGGAAACATAAGACATAACATAAAAGTGCCTGGAAGGTGGTTAAAAGGCAACAAAGGTGCAAAAGTCAAACTTTAAAGGCACCACAGTAGAAAGGCCTCATAGTATAACAGGCATCACAGCCTAAGGCACAGCTGCATAATGTACCATAGTTTAAAAAGGCATCATAGTATAACAGCATTACATCATAAGGAACAGCTGCATAATACCCCACAGCTTAAAAACCCCACAGATTTAAATGCAACACGGATTTAAATGTCTCACAGATTAAAAACCTCACATCTTAAATGAATCAGTTTGAATGCATTAAAGTTTAAATG